AGACGTCCGGGACGATGGTTGCGTCCGCACCAAGCGCACTGCTCGACGTCTGGAGCTTGGCGTCGACCGTCTTCTTGATGAGCTCGATGACGATAGCGGCGACGATCGTGTCGGGACCACGTAGTAGTCCTGGTCGCCGTTGGCGTTGGCATGGAGGAACCTCTTTCGCAAGCTGCGCAACGTTGTGGCTACAGCTAGCCCGAGCATCTTGTCGATGCTACTCGCGTGGATGTCGACCGACCACGTAGTACGCAATACAAGAAGAGCGTTAGAGAGTCAACCACGCGGTATAATTAAGGTCCGTCTTTGTCGGCTTAGTTGTTTTCAAAGAAGGACGTGACGCGCATGACGACGGTCCACGTGATGGCTTGGCCGGGCGCCATACGCGTCAGGCGCGGGACAAGGCCCTTCCAGAGCGCGGCGTTGCCTTCCTCGCGCGCAATGACGCCAAACGCATGAACAAACCCGCGGTACTTGGGCTCGACGCCCTTGATCGTCTCCTGTGCCATGAGCCGCGTCTTGATGACGTCCATGGGCGAGTTCAAGCACGGACCGAGCGAGCCCGCGACGAGACCGTTGATGAGCGTCTTCCAGACTTCGAGCTGCTTGCCGTCGCCGTCCTCCTTTTTCCACACGTTCGAGTTGAGCCATGCAAACGCCATAAAGTTGAAGGCTTGGTTGCTGCCTTGGCGCGCCATGGTCGGGATGTTGCCCTTCCAGAGCGCCGTGATTCCTTCGTTCGCGACGACCTTCTTGAGACAGTCGATCGGGCCCTTGTAGCGCCCGACGCCCACCTCTTGCTGCAAGCGCGTCTTGACGACTTCGAACGGCGTCACAATCAGCACCGACTCGAGGCAGCCCGTGAGAAGACCCGCGGTGAAGTTGATGCCATTTGATGCTTTCACGCCTTCGCCGGCGCCGAGGAGCTCCTTAAACTTGGCAAACGACCCAAAGCGCAGCGCGTACTTGAGCGTGAGGTGCATGATGAACGGCGAGAGACCCTTGTAGAGCGCAGCGCCGCCTTCGGTGCGGTAGATCGTCTTGCCGCAGTCAATCATGCCCTTGTACTGCCCGGTCCGGTCGAGCTGGAGACGCGTCTTGGTCACGTCAAGCGGCTGGAGCATGCACGCCTCAACGACGCCGCCCGCCATGCCCGCGGCCATCTTGACGTACGGCGAGACCGGCTTGCCCTTGAGCTCCGTGGCCATCGCGTCCTTGAGCGGGCTCGTCGCCATCATCGGGGGCGTTCGGGGCGTCATGCTGCTGCTACTGCGAAGATGCGAAAATGGGTCGCTCAAAGATTTCCGTGGGCCCTTGCCTTCAAGCCCATGTCTCGTGCCATCTTTTTATTCCAGGACCCCTTTTTTACTAATATTGGCATGCGAGCCAATCAGGTGACGCCGATGCGCCCTGCTGCCATCTGATTGGCGCGTCGGTCACTGGCAGCCACCAGTAACCAATCATCGCGCCGGAAATGGTGACGAAACAGTCAACGAACTGACTCAAATGGGGATCCGCCTAGGCGCGTCACGAGCGCGGATCGTGGACCGAGCCAATCAGCGCCAAGTTGAAGTGGCAAAAGATCGCGCGGGCCAAGCCGCCGCAACATCTTGTGGTCGACGGCAAACGCAGCGACGCCTTTCATATTCTTCAAGCGTGACGACCAAACCAGAAACCAGTTCGATTTGATCCAACGACACTTGAGAGTCCTGCCCAGATTCTAGCATCCAGTGCATCCGGCGCGCTCTGTTCCCGCATCTGATCCCACGTGGTGCGGCGTCGCAAATGCAAGAGTCTGTGAATCTTGGCGTCTGCTTTGAATCCAAGTCCCATCCAAAATGGCGGCTCATGGCGGCCTTCCGAGTCTTCTCGAGCGTCCAACCGACCGGTCAACGGCCGCGTCGTGTAAATTTAGAAGACGATGCAATCGCTCCGCCAACATCACATTTCGATTTTGAAAATGGAGAAAGAGAGCGGGGAGCTGGAAATGTGGGAATGCCCCACGTGCACACTCCGCAACACCCTCACGGCCGAAGCCTGTGACGCGTGTGGCACAACGAGTCCCTTCGTACTGGCTGCAATGGCGCAACAAGACGCCGCCGCTGACGCCAAGGACATTGACGACGATGCGTCGTCGACGTCGACGCGACCTTCACGTGGCTCGTCCATCGAAGATGATTACAAGGCAGCGGCCCAGCTCGACCCGTGGGCACAAGCCGAAGATGAGTGGGCTGTCGTCGAAGCCACGCAAGCGACCAAAGTGAAACGCAAGGGCTCGGCCAAGACGTGCGAAGGCTAATTTGATCGAATATACCAGCACGACGACCTGGTGAGACTCTGGCGGCCGATGGCGCCATGTGGTCAGCGCAGGCTACTAGAATCTCGTGCACGAATGGTTTGGATGCAAACGGAGCCCAGACGTCAGACCTTTGAGAGTTGAACGGAAGCAGGGCCTCCGAGGAAGAGGAGGGCACCATTGGAGCTCATCTGGGGCTTCACTTGTGGCGCCGGACAAGTCGCCACCCCTTCAAGATACCGTGGATGTACGTCTCGGTTTCATTGGCTATGTACGATGTACTAGTACGCTTGTATTTAAACTTGGAAATGTATTGGGTAGTACGGCTTGTACTGTACGGTACGGCAACGTTTGGCGATCCAACGCGACAATAAGATCTTACTTGGCAGGAGCAAGATGATGGACACGGAAGCGACGGTCGACTTTTTCTCGCTGCACAGCCGCAAGAAGCGCGATGTGGACGTCGAGATGCTCGACTATGACTACGTCGAGAAGTGCACGGACGCGGACTTGCTCAAGAACATCCTCGCCGTGCTGCAGTCGGGCAAAGAGGGCAAGTACCCGCAGCTCGAACGCGCGACCGAAGCCCAACTGCTCAAAGTCCTCCCGAAAGCCGAGCGTGACCGCATCGAACGACTCCAGTCTCAGCCGTCCTATTCGGACATCGACTCGGAGAAGGCGGCGCTTGCGTCGTGGGAGCGCGACATGGAGCGCAAGCTGCAGCGGCTCGACGACGAAGCCCAGCGCGTTTCTGCACCACGGAATCGTCCGGCGGTGCGCGGTCGAGCGCAGCCAACAGACGCGTCACCGTCGCCGCTGATCCAAGAGGTGACAACCTCGAAGGCCAAGAAGCAGGCGATTCCTGCGTACGACTGGCAGTCGTGGGAAAAATATGATGTCGAAGCCGCCGAGCGCGAGCTGGATGCGGAGGAGCAACGCAAGCAAGACGACGCACGCCGACAGCGCGACGAACTTCAAGCGCGAACCGCGCGCCGCATGAAGGAGGCGCAAATGCCACTCTCGGTCGACCTTGACGTCCTCACGCTGACCGAGCGCGAGGTATACGCGCTCCATGAAAAGACCAAGGGCAACGAGTGCTTCAAGCTCGGCGAGAACGACGAAGCGATCTTGTATTACTCGCGGAGTCTTGCGTACGACCCGACCAGTGCGATCGTGCATGCCAACCGCGCGCTCACGCACCTCCGCCTCAAGAACTTCGCCAGCGCCGAGGATGACTGCAGCAGCGCCATCCAGCTGGACCCAACGTACACGAAAGCGTGGTCGCGTCGGGGTATGACGCGCTTCCGCCGTGGCAAGTACGCCGACGCCGTCAGCGATTTTACGCAGGCGCTAAGTCTCGAGCCAAGCAACCGCGAAGTTGAAAAGCTGTTGAAAAAGACAGAGGAAAAGTGGCTCGAAGTGGATGGGACGCGCGGCGGGACGCTCGTGCCCGAAGCACCCCCGATGGCGCCAGCAACGACGACCTTTAAGCGGTTCGAAATCATCGAAGAAGACGAAGACGACGCCGAGGCCGTGCAATCGGCACCGACGACGTCGCAGCCGTTCAAGCGCTTCGAGATCATTGAAGACGACGATGATGAAGATGACGATGATGATGAAGATGATGAAGATGACGGCAAGGTTCACGGGATCAAGCCAAGAGACGTGCCACGTTTCGAAGTGCTAGAAGACTAGGCGCGCATTGGGGTGTATTGGCAAAGACTTGTGTATATAGCAGTATGCATATCTTATCGTCTCGCGTTGCATTAGCCTTGCATGTGCACAACGCCAAGGCCGGGCTTGGCCGTCGATAAATAGTACGCGCGCGAGTCGCCCATCGAGAGCACGGCGGCCTTGACGATGTCGCCGGGATGGAAGAGGTCTTCGAGCACAATCTTGTCAATGTCCATGGGCCGGACGTCTTCCTTGCGCAGCGTACCCGCAAACGGCTCGCGGAGCACGACGTCGTCGCGAACCGAGAGGATGTCGAGGAAGATTTGGGTCGTCGTGAGCTTCGTGACCTTGCAAATGACCGTGTCATCGAGCTGGAGCACATAGTCGGTCGCGATGCGCTTCCCGGCCGGTCGCCGGACGATGATCGCGTTGCCGACCGTCGCCGACGTGCCCGCCACGGAGGCGAAGATGCTTCCGTTGAGCACATACGTTCCGTCGCCCGCGGTCGTTGCGTCGCTCACGGCGCCCAAGCGCTGTCCTGGCAGCACCACCGACATCTTGTTGAATCCAAAGGAGTGACCGCCACCGAGCTCAAACGGTTCACAAACCGCAAAGTAGCGGTTAGACTTCAACGTCAACCGTACTTAAGCGGCATTGTCGACGGTACTTAAGCCGTACATTCAACTCCAAAATTGGATCACCGCCAGGGAGATAGCTAGCGCAGCGGTGGTCGACTGCTGCGCCGGGGTCGTGGCAGGCAGGGCACTGAAACAACGTGAGGCACCCCATGCTTGGGCTTCTGCAGGCGCGTCGCAGAAGAGAGAAGAACAATGTTGATGGTGGATTTTGACGGTATTTACAGAGATATGGTTGGGAAGCGGGCGCTAGTTGTGGCGGAAGAGCGTTATGCACTTCTTGCCAACGTTAAATTTGATGAAATTCTTGCTCTCGTACGTAAACGACACCTTGTACTCGGACCCGACGATGCAATGCCACGTCGGGCCGTACTTTTCTTCGAGCCAGAGCTAATCGGATCATTGGGCGGCGTTGGATCGATGCGTCGTCTACCTTGAGGTGCTTGGAAATGTCCTTCTCGTCCGTGTACTGCTCCATGGCAATGCTGGCCTGCATGAGGACATCGCTCTACAACCACAGCTCTAGGAGACGTCCAGCGTGATCCTAGCACCTTCATATCGCCATGCTCGTCCACTACATGGAGGGCGCCATGAGCTACCTAAGCCTTGGGCTTGCATGGACGTACTGTCGGTCTCCATTTGCTTGTTGTTGTCGCGGCTCGTCATGTTGCTGCCGGGCAATCTGCGATCGAAGTGAACCGTCGCGATCCGAAGATCTTGAATTTACCTGTATCAATCAATATGCGTATTTTACTCAATTTGGGAGACTTGATGGTTCTAGAACAATCTTTTTGGCCAATCCGAACGAGCGATTTCTGCACCAACCAAGCATCAGCCCACAAAGCGGGAATAAAAACAAGTTCAATTTAGGACTATTTTAAATACCTAACTTCTATTCTTTATACAAAATACAAGATAATAGAGTTGGAGGAGAGAACAAATACAAAGAAATATGTCATTAAAATATGCCACCGCGTCATAACGGTTAAATTACGGTGAATCCGGTTAATTTGATGAGCTAATTCGGGGATGGAGGACCCCACTTTCTTTCCAGGAGCACCCCGAAGACCATGCTCGCCCGCCACGTTCTGACCAAGTCCCGCGCCATTGCGGCCGCCAGCGCCAAGCGCTCGTTCTTTCGCTCGTCCTTGGTGATGACGGAGAAGAAGGAAGGCGAAGGCGAGACTGCTGCGCCTGCCGCCGAAGAGGCTGCCCCGGAGGACCCCGTTGCCGCCCTCACGGCCGAAGTCGAGGCGTTGAAGGCCAAGAACGCCGAGCTCAGCGACAAGGTCCTCCGTGCCTTGGCGGATGCTGAGAACGTGCGCCGCATCTCGCGCCAGGACGTGAACAACGCCCGCGAATTCTCCATCTCCAAGTTTGCCAAGAGCCTCTTGGACGTCTCGGACAACCTCAAGCGCGCTCATGAAAGCATCACGCTCGAGGAAATGTCGCCGGAACACAGCTTGGTCGCGATCAAGTCGCTCCACGAAGGCGTCGTCATGACGGACAAGGAGTTGCAGAAGGTCTTCAACTCGTACGGCATCAACAGCGTCGGCGCGGTCGGCGACAAGTTCGACCCCAACTTCCACGAGGCCATGTTCGAGTACCCGGACGAGAAGCAGACGCCTGGCACCATTGGCCAGCTCTTGAAGGTCGGCTACTCGATCCACAGCCGCTGCTTGCGGCCGGCGCAAGTGGGCATTATCAAGGCCCCGCCCGCCCAGCAATAAGCACCTCACGTTTCGTAGATTTTCCCATGTTATAGACCCTAATGCACCTTTGACGCTATTCAACCTCATATTCCTAGTGGCCTTTGACGTTGAGCACGGTCTTTGCATGGGCCACAATGTCGGCGGTGGGCGCGAGCGCCGACGCAATCAGGTCCGCGTCACGGTACGCCGACGGCCGTTCATCAAGCGTCGCCGGCAGTACGCAGGTCGAATATACGTCGCCCATCTCGGCGACAAAGCCGCGCATGGCGGCCGCCACGCCGCGCCCTTTCTGTGCGGCCCCCGCGCGCTTGCGCGCCCGCAGCCGCCCGCAGCCATGCGGCCCCGAGTAGTTCCACGACGCGTTGCTGCGCCCGCGACAGATTAGAATGCCGTCGCGCATGTTGAGGGCGACGACGCAGAGCTCGTCAGCGTGGCACCGAATCGCACCCTTGCGCAATACGAGGTCTCGGAAATCGATGTAGTTGTGCGTCGACTCGATGACGCGCGTCGCGTCATACGTCGCTGCCGTCGCATGCGAAAGCACGAGCGACAAGATGGCGCGGCGGTTCATGCGCGCATACGTCTGCGCCCAAATCATGTCGAAAAAATAGGCCGCGGCGGCCGCGCCCGCCAGCGCGCCACTGTGCGGCTGGACGCCCGTGATGTCGTCGTCATCACTGTGGCTGCGTGGTTGCGGTGCGCCACCACCCGCCGCTTGCTCGTAATGGTACCGCGCAATCTTTTGGCCAATGTTGCGGGACCCCGTGTGGACGGCCAGGTACACTTCGTCGGTCGCCTCGCAGACGTTGACTTCGATGAAATGGTTGCCGCCGCCCAATGTGCCGAGTGCGCGAAGGTCGTAGTCGTAGTCGGACCGCGTCCGAGCGCAGAGAGCGCGCAAGTACGCGTCATTGTACGTGGGCATGTATGGCGTCAGGTCGAGCTGAAACTTGGCGCCAAAGGCGTCGACAAAGGCAACGGCGTCAACCTGCGCCTGGGCAAAGAACGGAGCGTACTGCGCCGGCGCAATCACTGGCGTCGCATGCACGCGGTCGTGGCCATTGCCCATGGGCACGACCTCCTGGATGACGCGATCGAGGCGCGCGAGCGACTGCTTCTTGGCGATCGCTGACGACGGCAGCGGGTGCAGCGCAACGCCACAGCCAATGTCTCCGCCAACGAGTCCCGGCAAGACATGTGGGGTCAAGTGGCACGTAAAGCCGACGCAGCACCCGTTGCCTTTGTGGGCATCCGGCATGATGCGTGCATGTGCGACCGAGGCATGGGCCGCGATCGCTTCAATCTGCTTGAGCGTCTCGCGATCGAGATGGTCCTTCTCGAGGAACACGACGGCGTCGTTGGGAGCTTGGCCGATGGTAAACATACGTGGCTTGCTGATACTGTTACTTGTTGCGAAATGAAAGAGTGAAGACGAAGGAGCGCTCCATGCGAGCAAGCCATGCGGAAGCAAGCGCGAACATGCCCACGGACACGAGAATGATGGCAGCACCATCACTCACCTGCCACAAACCTCCCGCGCCGGTTTGCCATCGGTCCAGGTCGAAACCGAGGAGTCAAGGTGTCACAGGCTCCAAGAGGCGATGCTTGTACGCGATGAAAGAACCCGTGCCATTGAAATGTGCAGTCCGTTTGGCCGGCAGCGACTGCTAAGAACTTAGTCGAGAGCGTACGGCGAGCCTCGTGGAAGCTAGATTCGCATAACGTGTTACACTGCTTCCATTCGTTTGCCTTTTAGTCGATTGGAGTCGACTACGTACAAACGGCTGCCACCCACGGTAGCTACTACATCGCAAGTTGAATGGTATCGCGTGATAATACGGCAGTTGAAGGAAACTGCTCGTCCGGACACGTTGCAAACTACGAACAGTTCGTATAGAAAGGAATATAGATATGGCGTTTGTCGTCTCTAGACCCCTGGTCCTTACTGGCATTCATCCCGAAAGCAGCCCGCGGTGTATCCGACTAATAGCAATTCGTGCGACCCTTGAAAGATTTGGCGCCAAAAATGGCACGTGAAACACCTTTTGCTAACGTTCGCGTAAGTCCGCTTCGCACTTAATCGGCGCGCCCCACTTGGTTCGTTCGCAGTTCGGATCTCTTCCCGCCACCATGCCCACGGTCCACATCGCGGGCGTGCCCGTGAGCTTCCCCTTCACGCCCTACGAGTCGCAGCTCGTGTACATGGAGAAGGTCATCATGGCCCTCGAGACGAAGCAGAACGCGCTCCTCGAGAGCCCCACGGGCACGGGCAAGGTACGGCGACGACGACCTCGCTTGACCTCATGCGCAGGTAGACGCTCTGCCTCCTCTGCGCGACCTTGGGATGGATTGCGCACCGCAAGAAGTCGCTGGCCAAGACAAGCGCCAAGAAGAAGACCGAGAAGCTCGAGTACGAAGACCTCCCCAACGACGAAGGCGACGCGAACGAAGACGACGACGACGTGTTGCCCAAGATCATCTACTCATCGCGGACGCATACGCAGCTCAAGCAGGTCGTGAAGGAGCTCAAGCAGACCGCGTACAAGCCCAAGGTCGCGATCCTTGGCTCGCGCGAGCACCTCTGCGTCCACCCCGAGATCTCCAAGATGCGAGGAACCCAGCAGAACCACTCGTGTCGCCAAGCCGCCAAGCAGTTGCGGTATCCATGCTTCCTCTTCATGCCCCGAGGTGGTGATGGCATGGCATTAGTTGCATCTTCAAGTCGGGCTACGACCAGTCCAAGAAGGGCGGCAACCCGCGGATCATGGACATTGAAGAGCTCGTGACCGTCAACCGAGAGCGACAGGTCGCCTCGTCGTCCTTTTGCGGTTATCGGTATCAACGCACGACGTAGATTTGCCCATTTTACGCCAGCCGCGACATGCTCTCGAAGGCCAACGTCATCTTCATGCCGTACAACTACCTCGTGGACCCGCCCCTCCGCGCGTCCCTCGGCGTCTCCCTCGAGAACGCCATCCTGATCTTTGACGAAGCCCACAACGTCGTATGTGCTGCCATTGTCATCACAGACAAAGCATGTCTCTATGTAGGAGTCGATCGCGAGCGAGGCAGCGTCGTACAGCCTCTCGACCGAAGACATTCAAGGCTGCATCAAGGAGGCCCAGGAGTGTCATCGCATGATTGCGACTTCGCGCTACGTGCCCGAAGAAAGCTCGTTCCTCAGCGCGCAGGTCACTGGTTCCTCTACCTGCAATCGACGCTCATACGATGTATAGTCGGTGACAACGCTCATGGAGCTCCTCATGGAGATCGAGCGAGGTCTGCTGTCGTTCCCCGTCTCCAAGGATGGCGGCTGCACCAAGGTAGTCTCAGCGCCTTGGCTTTGTCGAGACGAATATGGTTGCCTAGCCGGGCGAGTACATTTTCGATTTCTTCAAGGCGTTCAACATCTCGTTCGACACGGCGCCCATGGTTCTCGGCATATCGGAGCAGGTGATCGAGGCCATCACGGACGGCGGCAATGCGAGCAACCCGCGCAACTCGAAGCTCGAGAGCCTCGTCTCGTTTCTCAAGACGATCTTTCGGGACAAGGACAACCACCACAAGGTGTCATGACCTCGCTTATGGTACCAGTGTTCTGATGCAAGCCTAGATGACCAAGCAATTCCGCGTGCACATTCAAGAGGAGTAGGGCAGCGCGCTTGCGTCGTGTATTGAGGTAGCACCATTAGGACCCAAGTGACGCGACGATACCAGTCGGGGCCGACCGTCACCAAGACGATGCGCTGGTTCCACTACTGGTGCTTTCACCCGGGCGTCGCCATGCAAGAAATTTACGACCAAAAGGTGCACAATATTATTCTCACGAGGTACACCCGACTGTATCGAGCGTCTGCGTCATCGCATTGAACTTTGGATAGCGGGACGCTTTCGCCGCTGGATACGACGACCAAGGAGCTCGGGATTCCTTTCCCCATTCAGCTCGAAAACTGTCATGTGGTTGACGCGTCGCAAGTGTGGCTTGGCGTCGTGGGCGTCGGCGTCACAGGGAAGCGCCTCAACAGCAGCTACCAGTACCGGAGCTCGGTCGAGTACCTCGTCGAGCTTGGCAACACGCTCATCAACTTTGCTCGGCTCGTGCCAAATGGCCTCCTCATCTTCTTCCCGTCGTACACGATCATGGACCAATGCGTTGCGCATTGGCAGCTCAAACCCGCCAACCAGCAGCCGTGCATTTGGGACCGCCTCTTGCAGCTCAAGGTAATCCCAACTTTTGCAGCCAAAGCGACGTCGTATCCCAAGTTAACACTCTGCGACAGACGATCCACGTCGAGCCCAAGAACCGGTTCGAATTTGCGGACGTTGTGACGGCGTACCATGACGACATCAAGTCGAGTCCGCAAGGCGCCATCTTCATGGCGGTCTGTCGCGGCAAGGTCAGCGAAGGCATTGACTTTTCCAACGAGAACGGACGCGCGGTCGTCATCACCGGCCTCCCGTTTGCACCCATCAAGGACCCCAAGATTGTACTCAAAAAGGAGTTCTTGGACCAAGCGATCGTGCCCCCCGGCGAGTCAGTACGTCCTGACTAGAACGACAAAGCACGTCCTTATTGACAATATCCGGAGTAGAAACTCACGGGCAACAACTGGTACGTGCAACAAGCCGCGCGCGCCGTCAACCAAGCGATCGGTCGCGTGATTCGCCACCGGCACGACTACGGCGCGATCATCCTCCTCGACGAGCGCTTTGGCTACGCGCAGCAGCGTGGCACGCTCTCCAAGTGGCTGCAGTCGTACTGCCACAACTTCAACAGCTACGGTACGACCGTATATACTCCATACGTCCCGATAGATCTCACTTTTTGAATCGATAGGCGAAGCCCATGGCACGCTTGTCCGCTTTTTCCGCTACAACAAGGACAAGTACGCGACGACACCGATCCCAGCGACCGTCGGAAAGGCGCCACTTCCGTTCAATCCACCCAAACGCCTCGAGGCGCCGACCCCCGCGCCAAAGGTCGCCGTCGCGCCGCCGCCGCCAAAGGACGTGACGGCCAACAGCCAAGTGGCAATCGGCGATGGTCAGTCGTACGTCAACCCCAAGCTCTTGACAAAGCCAGTAAAACCTCCTGCGCCAGTTCTACCAGGTACACGTGTCGTCTAGCTCCTTTGGCATTCTCAAGGCTGCGTAGCGCCGAGTGTCAAGGCACCCGTCGCTAGCGGGACCACATCGCATGCGCCGTCGTTGCGCAATGTGTTGGAGAAGCAGGTCGTGTCGGCGTCGACAGCCACCGTGCGCCCTGCGTCGTCGTCGCTCGAGTCGGTGGTGCAGAACGCGCGCGCGATTCTCTCGCCGCAAGAAATGAACGAGCTCTTATCGCTCATCCGAAACGTACCCAAGGCGCCGGAAGACATGCCCGAGATCGCGGCCATGCTGGGACCATACCCCGAGCTTTTGGACCCGATTGTCGCCCTCCTCCCGCGGTCGTACCAGAACTTTGGCGCTGTCTCGGTGAACGACGCGGTCCAGGCCATGGCCAAGTCGGCCCAGCGCCAGAAGCGCAAGGCCGCGTCGCCTGTGGTCGCGATCCCCAACCCGCAGTGCAGCATTTGCTTTGACGTGCTCGACATGTCGCACGCCGCACCTTGTGGCCACATTTGCTGCGACCGCTGCTGGAAAAAGGTGCTTCTCCTTCGTCTTTGCCCGAGGACTTCATCCAATGGTGCTAGTTGGAGTCGCAAGGGGCGATTGTGTGCCCCGTGTGCAAGGCGACGTGGCCCATCAAGTCGCTCGTGCGCATCCAAGCCAAGACCAAAGTGAGCAAGCTCAACGCCCGCGCTCTGTAGCTATTCGTCTGGCATCGGCCGCTTCGTTAACGCCCTCAAGTGAAGTTCCTCCCGAAAAAACATGCTTTTGCGCGTCTCCAAGACGGTAAAGAGTACTCGCATTATTGTACACGACGGTGCTGCTTGTGATCCTCTTGGAGCCCACGAACACGATGTGACAATGCATTTTGTATGCAGACGACCACCCCAGAAGGGGTCGCGAGGTTAATAATTACGAAAGCTCTTACGAGTGGCGGCGCGCAGTCGGGTCCGGAATCAGCCGCTTGGCGGCCACGACCCAGTCCATGAGCTCAGTCTGGGACGTGCATTGAAAGATGTGGCGGCGCGTCGACTCGGTCTTGAAGACGCTGAAGAGCCCCGAGGAGGCCACCGCCTAGACGGGCGTTCGATCCAGTCGACTCGCAGTCCTCGTACCTCGTTGACTTCAAACGTCGGGACCGTGCCCTTGGCGATCGCGAGGCGCGAGTTGGGGAGGTAGATGGACGCATACGTCACACACGAGACGCCGTCGTCCGAGGTCGGGAGCGACGAGAGCACCGCGTCCGGCCGCTTGTCCTTGGTCCATTCAAAGAGGTGGAGGTACCCGTCCTGCGTCACGGCGCCAAACATGTCCTTCCACGACTTGAACATGGTCGCCGACACTTGGTACCGCAGAAAGCCGCCATAAACCAGCTACAAGATCCTCAGCTGCGTCGGCATGAAGTGTGAAATCAGGAAAACCTACCAGCGGACTCGCGAGCGGCGACCGGAACGACCCGAAAAATTTGTCTTCTTGCGCATCGGCGAGCGCCATCGCGGTGTTCTACGTCATAATGGGCATCCGACATGGACAGAGGTGCATCGTGTACGTTGCGCGGAATGCGGCGAATCGTGAGCAGCAGGTCCTTTTCCGCGTGCATTTTCTACCCCAAACCAAAATACGAAATCAGATCTGATGGCAAACACATACGAGCGTGCTGCCGAGGGGCTCGGTCATGGTGCCGCCGAGCTCTTCAAAAATGGTCTTTTGCTTGCGCAAGTACGTATCCAGCGCGGTCTGGGTCACCGAGACGCGGAGGACTTCGATCGTCTAGCCACGCCGTCAACGGAAGTGCATCAGTGTGTCAAGTCGATACCTTGAACTGCTGAAAGAGTGTGGCCATGCCCGTCACGTACTCGACACGCGCAGCTTGGAGCTTCTGGACGTTGACACCGTACGCCGCTTCGGCGAGCCAGAGATCGTGCGCATGACTGCTGCTCTCTTCTATCCAAGGATGGTTTATACTCTGAAAAGAGGAGGCGGTGGACCGACGCTTGGCTTGACGCGCGCGCTCCATTTCGCGGTAGAGGTCGTCGTAGGCCGCAAACGATTCTTGCACGCGTTTTTGGGATGCGCGCAGCATCAAGTCCAGCGCGGTGCCTTCCGCCACCATGGTCGTCGCCGTCTCTTCGTACTGCGTCACCTACATGCAGTGCATGAGCGTTTGGTAGAGAGCGAGGAAGAGGACCATTTCCTGGAGCGGTCGCGCGAGCACGTCACGCTGGATCGCGTTCGTAAACGTCTCGATCTTGTCTGAGAGCTGCTGCTGGCTTTCGCCGAGGGCGTGGAGGGCGTTGTCGCACGACGACGCCATTTGGAGCTTGGGGCCCCCGACGTCCGACGTCTCGAGCACGAGCCGCAGCCGCCGGAGGCTCTCTGCATACGCCATGTCGGCTTGGATCTTGAGTGTGAAGAAGCGCACGAGGCGGGCGTTCGTGTCCCGCGCGGTCTGGAGCTCGGCGCAAAACACGTCCCAGTACTTGCGGTCGGCCATCTGCGCGGGGTCGATGTACGCCTTGCGCGACGCCTCAAAGCACCGGAGCGCGTCGCACGAGACGCTTTTGTTGCGCCACAGCATTGCATGGTTCAAGTTGGCGTCCGGCACCGTGCCCGCTTTGGTGAACGAGTTGGCACGGCCGCCGTCCGTGCCCGCATGGTGTGGCGACGACGTCGCAATCACGTCGCCAGCGACGAGCGCTGCCGCAGACGCCGACTGCTGAGAGGTCGGTGGCGATACGATCGTCAGCGCTGGCGGCGGCGACGCGGTCGATGGTGCGGGCAGCGTACTCTCGGCGTCGCTCATCTTGTTGGTCTGTCCCTTGTTGCAACTGGCAGACCCAAAAGCCCTTTCTTGATCCTCGGATTGTGATTGGTTGGAATACTAAAAACCTCACGACGGGGCCAAGTGCGCGCACTTGACACGCGATATGCGACACGTCTCGTGGCAAATCCTTGAAGATACAAGCCCACACGCCCAGGAAACCAAGCAGACCAAGCGTGTACAGACCGCTACTCGAAGCCAGCAAGCAGCCTCCAAGGCTCGCCCCGTTGGAAGCGCTCTTGCTAATTCGCATGGCGCGACAGCGTCTGCGTTGGTGGCACCACCGTCATTCAGCTTGCGTGGGAATGTTGCGAGTTCTGAGCTCCTGGCAAGCCCTCGTGCGCATGCCATGGCACCTCTGGCGATGAGGACGTCGCACGAGTCCGTACGCACGCAATCATCATTTGACAAACAACGACCGGAATCGAGCCAAAAACATCGTCACAGGAGGGTAAGATTAAGCCCGATAAGTGAAATTGCTGATCAAGCTGAACATTCACAGCCTGTAAGCTCTGGTTGCAGCAACAATGCATCTGACGAGTGTTGCTATTGACGCTATGCATAATGTCCTTCCTCCAAGAACAGCTCTCAGAACGCGGTGCTTATTTGCGACTCTTTGTTTGTGGCGTTCGTAGTCCAATAGTGGGCCGGCAAGGAGCCACGTAGCGTGCCGATCCAAAAAGACAGGAGGCCGCGCAACGGATTGTGGCCAATCCAAGGTCGCGATGGCAATGCGCACTTGAGATGCGCGAACTTGTCACGCATTGCCACAAACAACACCAAAAGAAGGAATCGGTCCGGGTAAACTCCGGGATGGAGAAACGCGAGATTGGCGACGAAGCGGTGTGGTCGCTCTCGACGGCCAAGCCCGGCAATGGCGTCCACCAGCTGCGCGATGGTATACTGCGATGGACCGCGCCGGTAATGACATGCTTGCTTGAGTAGACAACCTCGATACGTACTGGCAGTCGGACGGCGTCCAGCCGCATCTGATCAACATCCAATTCCACAAGAAGATGACCGTGCACGAGGTCGCCTTGTACCTTGACTACAAGCTCGACGAGAGCTACACGCCCCGGAAGATTGCAATCCGCGCCGGCTCGACCTTTCACGACCTTGTCGACATCAAGACGCAGACCATCGTCGAGCCATCGGGCTGGACCGTCATCCCGCTCCAGCAGGTGCTGCTGGCCCTTGGCCAGCCGTCGCGCGAGGTGCGCCCATTCGCCATGGTTCCAGCGCTGTAGCTCTACCGTAGAAGCCGCTGCGCACCTTCTTTCTCCAGATTGCTGTGCTCGGCATGCACCAGAATGGCCGAGATACGCACATCCGCCAGGTCAAGATCTACGCGCCGCGCGTCGCCGCGTCCATTGGCGCGCAGATCCCTGAGCCCTCGAGCGTCGCCTTCTCGTCCTTCGCATCGATCCGGTAAGATCGTCGTCCGCTGCGTCCCGTCAACGTTTTGCGTCATCCCGTCATCCGGTGCACTTGCCGTGGTCACTTCAACTGCTCGATTAAGTGCGGTTTTAGAGCCCAGATGCAATAATTTGACACCTTCAACTGGTCCGATTAAGTCCGCATACGCTCAAAGATCGCAACAGTCACAACTGCTCTCGCCGCCATTCGCGACAATAAGAAATGAGCCGACGCGACTCGCGCATGATGCTCTACCTCGGCGGCGTTGCCAGCGTCGCATGGTGTATGGTGTACATGGCCCAAGTCCACACGACGATGCTGGCGCCGGCGCCGCTCGCAGGCGCCATGCACCTCGCCGCCGCGCCATCCGATGCCGACCGCGTCGAAGCTCTCTTGAAATCTATGGTCCGCTGACCTTGCTAGGATCGAGTGCTCATGTAGTACATGCGCTATAGACACTGGCTCAAAAGGTGGGCCAAATGACGCAGATCGACATCGGCGACATTCTGTACGGCAAGAGCCGGGAGCCGGCCCTCGCCATCAACCGCGCCAAGGTCGCCGTGTACGCCAAGCTCGGGATCGGGTCGTACTTTAACTCGCCCTTTGACGCCAACAGCAGCCCGCACGGGCGCGTCGGGTGGTCGGCGTCCGAGTGGCGCGTCGTGCTCAACACGATCGCGGCCATCTACAAGGAGCACAGCGCCGTGCCGTTCATCTACGGCATCGACACGACGCACGGCGCCAACTATGTGCGCAACGCGACGCTCTTCCCGCAGCCTCTCGCGCTCGCATCGACCTTCAACGTCGACCTTGCGTATGCGATGGGGCGCATCGAGGCCAAGGACAGCCTCGCAGCCGGCATCCCATGGATCTTCAGTCCCGTGCTCGGGATTGCGATGCAGCCCAAGTGGTCGCGGGTACGCATGAACCTCTATCTTCCAACCGATCCGACTATATACGGTCTAGGTGTATGAGACCATGGGCGAAGATCCGCATGTGGTCTCGACTCTCGGCGTCGCTGTCATACGTGGCATCCAGTCGTCCAACGCTTCAGCGGTCCGCCCTCTTCTTGTACAACGCACGATATGCATTACTCGTATGTGCTAGGCCTGCATGAAGCACTTCATCGGGTACTCGAACCCGACGAGCGGCAATGACCGCGCCGACAGCATCATCACGGACTTTGACTTGGTCAACTACTACGCCCCGCCGTTCCTCGCTGCCGTCCGCGACGGTAACGTCCTCAGTGCCATGGAGACGTACACCAGCGTTAACGGCGACCCGGTCGTCCAAAGCACCAAGCTGCTCCAAGGTTTGCTGCGCAACGACATGGCGTTTGACGGGCTCCTCGTCTCGGACGACGACGAGATCCACCGGCTCGTGGCCGAGCACCACGTGGCGGCGACGGAGCTCGAAGCACTGCAGATGGTCATGGACCACACGTCCTTGGACATGAACATGGTGAGCAAGAAGCACCGCGCGACGTCGCTCTTACTCAAGCTCGTGAACGCGTCGACGATCCCCGAAGCGCGGCTCGATTCGTCCGTGCGTCGCATCCTCACGCTCAAGCAGCGCCTCGGGCTCCTCGATGCACCGCCTTCGACTCACGAGAATTTGGTGGCGACGGTTGGCAGCGACGAAGACCGCGCGCTCGCAGCGACGGCCGCCGACGAGAGCGTCGTGCTGCTCTTGAACAAGCCCGTCGAGCCCGTGGACGCGGTCAATCCCAAGATGGTCCTCCCAATCCAGAACCCAAATGCTAAGATCTTTGTGACCGGCCCGCTCGCCGACAACAAGGCGTACCTCTGCGGCGGGTGGACTGTCTATTGGCAGGGCACCGACGACTCGGACGCGATTCCGTATGGCCGCACGATCAAGGAGGCCGTGGCCGCCCGCTTTCCAAACGTTGTGTACGCAGAAGGCGTCCCGGTCCTCGATACGGACGTCGACGCGAACGCTGGCCCGCCGGGCAGCGTCCACGCGATGAGCGCGCCACAAGCTGCGAACCACAGCGCCGCGCTCGCGCTCGCGGCGGCCGCCGACTACACGATCGTGGTCGTCGGCGAGGCGCCGTATGCGGAAAAGTCGGGCGACCTCGACGACCTCACGCTGCCGTCCGGGCAGCTCGAGTACATTGCGGCGCTGAGCCGCGTCACGACGACGAACGTGATTGTTGTCGTAATCACGGGCCGACCGCGGCTCCTCGGGCACAGCCTCCGCCACGTCCACGGTGTGCTCGTGAGCTTCCTGCCGTGCGCGGGTGGCGGCGACGCGATCGCCAAGGTGATTGCCGGCGACGTCAACCCGAGCGGCCGCCTTCCACTCACGTACCCAGCGACGACGGGCCATGCGCTGCCGTACTTTCACCGCGCTAATGTCGCGTGCACCGAAGGCTTTAAAGAGTGCCCGGTCCAGTGGCCGTTTGGCGCGGGCTTGAGCTACACGACGTTCAAGTACGACAACCTCACGCTGAGCGCGTGGCGCGTCGACAAGGTCACGGGCCGGCTCCGCGTCGACGTGAGCGTCACCAATGTGGGCACGCGCGCCGGCAAAGAAGTGGTGCTGTTGTTTCTGTCGCAAAAGGTCCGGCGGTTTGCCGTGCCCGAGGCCAAGCTCCTGAAGCGCTTTACGAAGATCGAGCTGGCGCCGTCGGCGTCGACGACCGTGAGCTTTGAGCTGAGCTTTGATGACTGGTCGTTTGCACTACCGCAGATCGGTCATGGCTTGAACCGAACGGCCGAGGATGGACTCTTCCATCTCATGATCAAGCACGACACGACGTGTGGCGGGGCCAAGAAGAACCCGCTCTGTGCTCATTTCCACCTCGTCTAAGCAGCTCATGTAGACTGCGACTGCATGCTAACGTCTACTAAGTGATGTTGTACCTTGCGTGTGGCCATGCTTGCAACGAAGCATGGATCATGCAGGCGTCGCAAGGTGAGGGCTGCGAAATGGCCGCAAGGCTGGGAGGGCCAAAGCTGCAAGAGAGACGCGGTATCCCTTTCACCAGTGATGTCCATTGAGAGGGCTTTTTTACAGGCGACGCAATACGTCTTTCTATCAAAACTACAGGCGGCAAATGACATTTAGTTGAACTTGCCGAGGATGTCTTCGTCACGGAACAAGTGGAACTCGTCTTCGCCGAGCTTGAGGAGGCTGCCGCCGTATTCCGGGAGGAGCACCTTGTCGCCGACGGCCACGTTCATGGGGATGATCGTGCCCTCGTGGTTGCGGGCGCCGGGGCCGACGGCGACGACTTCGCCCTCGTTCTGCGTGCTCTTGGCCGAGTCGGGGAGGTAGATGCCACCGGCCGTCTTGAGCACGGGCTCGGCCTTCTTGATGAGGACACGGTTGCCAAGCGGCAGCAGCTTGCGGAGGCTCGACATGGTTCGACTACGGGGTCCGAGGAAAATTCGATACTGACCACCGCAAACGTTTCCAACAGCATCAAGTGTTTTAAACACATATCCACAAGTCGAAGGCTCGAGAACGTTCCGAAGTCGTGAAATAGTGTATGTTTGAACTTGAAGCTGGCAGCACGTGCAGTTGCGCGATGGCGCACGTGCGCAAACTCTCGTGAATAGTGTGCATGAGAACGATAGGCGCTGGGATTTAGTGTACATAAGTTGGGCTAGACACACGCAACTTGACGTTCTAGAATGTGGCGGGAAGCATCCTCACCCTACCAGATTGCACCGATATTCCTCAACCGCAAGCAGCGGTCTGGAACGGTCGACCACCAGATCGCTCGGGGTGTGCGCATTAGATTTTAGACCCAGCGTGACCAGCTGGAGCCATTTACCGCGTGTCAACGGCTTCTTGCCCAGAGTCAGCACGCCATCCAGCATTTCAGCGAATTCGCAAAATCGGGTTTGAACTGGCAGAGGTATCCACTTCATGACGAGTCGAGTCCAAGACGCGTCGCTGGCCGCCAAGGACACGGAGCAGCACCGCCTTGTTCGCATTTTGCAGGCGCAAACCATCACGCGGACGCGTGTCTGGACCTTGTGTATCGCCAGCCTCGGCGCCCTGCTCTCGCTTAGCGCCTTTGCCTTTGCCCACCAGCTCTACCCGCACCCATCGGCCGCGATCTTTGCATCGACCGCCGTCACGATCGTGCTCGAAACGAGCTTGACGCTGGCGACCGTATATACTCCCGGCACTGTCGACTCGCGCCCGATCATGGTCGCAACAGTGCGGGTAGTCATGCTCGTCGTGTGGCTGCGGACGAGCCAGGCCGCCTTGGTCGCCGCGCTAACATCGTCTGCTGTGGCGCTGGTCGTTGCGGGCCCGCTGGTGTTTGGCATCGTCTGCGCCCTCACGGCAAGTCAGCTCGCTGGCTTTCGAAAAGACCTATTGTCCTTGACGTCTCTCTGAGTCGTTCACAAATGCTAGTTAGTAGGAAGTGGTGTAGTACAAAATATTCAGACTCGCGTATCTAGGTTTCTAGTAGATTGCTTACTTCATCGGCGCCCAGTAGTCGATGATATCCAGAGCGACTTCACAGCTCTCCCGCACGACCTGGTGGTCGTCCTTGACGTACACCTTGAGGATCTCTTCGCACTCGGGCGTGCCAATGGCACCGAGCGCCTCGGCGGCTTCGTGGCGGACCATGCGGTGCTCGCTGGCGTCGACGAGCACCTTCTTGAGCGCGGGGACCGTCACGGGGTTGACCATTTGGCCCATGACGTACGCGATCTCGTGGCGGAAGAGCGCGCTCTTGTCGTCGAAAGCCTCGCCGAGCGCGAGCGCCGCGTCTTCCGAGTTGCGGTTCCGGAGCGAAAACATGGCACGGTACCGGTCGAACATCGAGCGCGACGTGTCGAGCAAGATGGCCTTGAGCTCGTCCGTGGTCTTGGTCTTCTCCATGGCCGGCGCCGGGTCGACCGAGAGATACGGGTTGCGGTCGAGGACGCCTTCGTCCTCCACCGGCGTGTGCTTGTACTTGACGAGGCGAAGCGCGAGCTCGCACGTCTCCGCGACTTCCGGCGCGTCGTCGTGGCTAAACTTTTCAAGGATCTCGAGCGAGCTCGCGTCGCCGATCGCGCCAAGGGCCTCGGCGGCTTCGTGGCGGACCATGCAGTCGTCGGACGTGTCGGCGACGACCGACTCGAGCGTCGGGCACGCATCGGCGTCCTGGAACTGACCGATGACATAAGCGAGCTCGTGGCGCATGAGCTCCGAGTCGGCCTTGTTGACCAAGGCTACAGACGATCTTAGCGCAGGATCCTCGTGGCGTGGCGTAGCCTACCTTCGAGGAGGACCTTGAGGTCGTCCTTGCCGCCACGCGTGCGGAGGTAGAAGACGGCGCGGGTGCGCTTGCCCATGGGCTGCGAAAGGTCGAGGAGCGACGCGCGGAGCTGGTCGAAGGAAGGGCCGTCCGACATGTTGGCAAAAGAGAAGTTGCGCAGGCCACCGACGTCATGACCACGTCACCGGATACCGCTTGTCCTCGCACCAGCGTATCCGGAATGCTTGGCACCTCCCACCAACCAAAACGCTTCTTGTGCGCCATTGGGTATGATTATAGCCAATCACAGGACTTAGGATGCTCCCGCGACTTCCACGTTGACGATCGCGATTGGACCCGCGCGCCATTTTCGCCAGTCATTCCGCGGGATCCTATCGCACTCTTCCAAGACCCATCTACGCATAGCTATAGTGTGTGTTTATATCGATAAGTCTTTGAAAGATTGGACTTTGATCTCTCGTAGGAAGATCCGCAGCTCGTTGGTCAGCTGAGGTCATGGCAGGACAACAAGATGGCTTAGATCTGACATGAAATAGTACAGTATCGACACAGCGTCAAATGCAAATAAAATTTTAGTACAGTACTCTGTCGGTGGTATGTCCCACCGAGTCCAAAGGGCACTCAAATTGCAGTGTAAGAGCATCGATGCTGACTGCTAAACCATAATGAACACCGGTCGCCGTTGGCGATTCCCTTGCCGTTGCGAAGACCACCACCCGCCTCCTCTCGGCACAGCGACGGACATGCAGCCTTTCCACCGGTCGCCGACATACAACTCGCAAACGTGTCAAACCCACCAATCACGCGTCAGCATTCAGATCCACACACGATCATTGGCTACATTCGTATCTATTTTCAGCTGGCACACCGGCCAGGGGCAAAGTCTCTGGAAACGCATTCGCGAATCGTCGTCCGGCCGCCGTGATGCAACAAGTACAACGCCCGCCCCTACGATCTTAGTGCTGATGCTCATCGTATAGGATGGCGCCACCGAGATTGTCCTACTGGAGGAGTCGCTGCCGCTGACCGACGTCGACCAAGTCTTTTATGACGCGATCAAGAAGGAGTTTGGGACCGACTGCAACGAAGAATTCTGCATTCGCCTTGCCCGCGCATACCGCGGCGAGAAGAAAAACCGCATGAGCAAGACCATCGGCGAGGCGAAGAAAGTACTGGTAGGCCATTGCCATGCGACGACAACTCTTGTTTAACAACACGTAGGAGTGGCGCAAGCAGGTCAAGGCCGACGAGCTACTCGAGATAAAGCTCGACCAAGCCGATTTGTTTGCACAGTCGTGGCCGTCGATGATTTCCGGCGAAGACTACTACGGGCATATCATCAACTACGACCGCCTCAAGGACATCCAGCTCGATGCGTTCCTCTCGCATTTCAACCTCGAGCAGGTCTTGCTCCACCGCGCCAAGCACATGGAACGACTTCGGGCCGAGTACATTCAAATCGTCCTTTCTCGGACAAGATCTTATAGTCTTCAATGATGTAGAATGGCCGCAGTCTCCAAGCGGGCAGGACGCCGCATCTACCGCCACATCTGCATTTTCGACCTCTCGGGCATTGGCCTCAAGCACATGGCACCGAGCGTCATTAACTTTTTGAAGCCCATCTTCGACCTCGGCCAAGTCTACTACCCCGAGTCGCTCTTCCGCATGTACCTCGTGAACGCACCGTTCGTGTTTTGGGGCACGTGGAAGATCATTTCCAACTTCATCGATCCGGAGACCAAGGAAAAGATCCAGATTTTCAAGAACGCCGAGAGCTTCGTCGTCGACGCCAAGAAGCACGGCATTCCGATGAGCGCAATCCCAAAGGCGCTCGGTGGCGAGAGCGTCGGGCGTATGCTCGACGACAACTTTGTCGTGACCAGCTGCGTCCCAGCGTCCGAGTAAACGCTACGTCGTCACATGCTTGGCGTTAACAATCGAATAGCATCCCATTTATATATTGGATAACCACAAGGACTTTAGGACAGCACGAGCAGACGCAACCTTGAGAAAGCCTGCGTTCGAGTTGGACACAGAGCAATGTAGGTCTCGTCGAGACACACGTCTGTTTGAAAGATTAAGGTCTTCAAAGTGCATCACAGTGCTTGATGGGGATACGATAACAAAGCAACTTGTGCAGCCTCACATAGCTGTCGAATGCGAGTTGAGTCGAATTGGGAGACCGCATATTCTATCATATTGCGGCGTTGCCACCTGCAATCAAAAACATCTCGCACTTGATATACGCCGCCGGTTGGCTAGTAAATTGGTGTTGCAACATACCACCTTGTTCGAGACTGGACGAGACGTTGTGCATCGAGCGATGCTGATAAACGAGCCGAAGTGGTGGCGGCGCAGGCGGTAGTCGCGGATCGTTGGGGCGTTGGCAATCCTGCCGCGACATCACTTTGGTTTCGAATTGTCGATGAATGGGTCCGTCGTTGACGTTGAATATTTATTTACATCACGGGAGCCATCGAGGTCAATAAAAGCAACTGTCGAGGGTCCGATTGCGATTGCAAAAGGATATTGAGCTACTCAACGACGCTGCCGATCAGCTCGGTCCTCTTCGTCGACGCAAGCAACAACGCCGAAGTCACGCGCGTTTGCACAAGCAAGATGGACCGCTTCGCATGGACCGAGACATTTACTTGACCAATGTGTTGCTAAGGCTATCGGGCTCATCTTCTACACCGAGGCGCGCATGGATCTCATCTGCAACGTCGTGGGCCAGTCGGTGAGCACCACCAACACATTTGCTTCCGTTGACGGAAACGGTTCGTGCTATTATACCATTCACGCCTGTGCATACTTGTCTTTGGCCGGTCGTGTCTCTGGCTCGTGCCTGGTGACGCCCTCTCGAATAAAAGTGCCGACAGCGATCGCGATGTCGTGACACTCTATTTCGTGCACGAGGCCGTGCGCGATCCAATCAAGGTCTGGCTGCTGTTCATTTATCGCATTGGAACGACGTTCTTTGTGTGGTACTGTCTCGATGTTCACTACTATATCCACTGCTGGCAGCTCGAATCGCTCGTGCACCGACGCGGCCACCGCGCGATCATGCCGCCGGGCGGCTGGAATTTGAACTCGTCCTTGGCGACCCAACTGCCATTGTGCTCATGGATCCGTGGGTCGCGGCACTCTATGTGCTTGACATTTGGCTCAATGCGATTGGTTTTGGCACGTCGACCATTGCCGTTTCGGAGAGCAGTGACCTGCTTCTGGTACTTCTCAGCATCTTGCACCTCTCGCGCTCGGTGGTTCCATACTCGGCTCCTCGTCCTGTCTGATAGACAGAAATGCGGTGTATGTCTGGTTTGCGTACTGGGGTCTCGGCATTGTCTCGTTCGGATTCCAGCACTGGAAATGAACAGTGCTTTTCGGAAGTCGACCCGACGCTCGTGGCCATCGCCGTCGTTATCTACGGGCCGATCATGGCATTCATCAACTGTCATTTCGTGGTGATCGAGCGCGTGGCCCACTACATTTGTCCTGTCTCGAACCCGAGAACTGACGTTGAATGTCAACTTTGTCGTTACAAAGCTTCTGACACTGAGTGGCCTCTCATCTATGGTTAAATCACTGGTACGCGGCAGTCTGCCGCGTACCAGTCGCTTCAACGACGCAAGAACGCCACGCACGTCACTCGATCGCTTTGCATTGCACCACAGTTAGCGCTGCGTGGTGGTTCAGTCTACAGCGCCATGGACGACCACCCGCGTCTCAAGCGATGTCCGACAATAAGCTTGCGCGGCAGCGACTGCTTCTTGCTCTGCTACTGCGACGGTGAGCTTGCTGAGCGGCTTCGCTTGCGTCTTTGAACCAATTTGGATACCAAGGCGATGCACCGCACGCGGCCGAGCCGTCGCAATCGTACGCCGCCCGAGCCATCCTTGTGATGTATCTAATGCAGGTGTTTCCGTCTACTCTATCACAAATACCACCTACACAGACAAATTGTGGTCAAACCAAAAATTTGGTCATGGACGGTCAGACAGCTTTCGTCACCTGCGTATGGAGCACAATGGAAAGTGTTGGTATTGCATGTTACATGTAGTCCATAGTTCAAGGGAACTAGTGTACAATATAGTCTAGGAGACTAAGACAACTAACAAGGTGTTATGTTGGCCAATATTGTG